AGGATGGGGGGGGGGTGGGGTGGGTGGGGGTGATGGGGGGGGGGTCGGTTTGAAAAAAATACCTATTGCCCCGTACAGGAATGTTGTAAAAGGCTATTAACTGGGAGTTTGTCGAAATAGATGTGTGGATTAAAATGTGTAAATATCACAGTCCAGCCTAAAACCCCAACACGTATTAACCACCTTTGTAATGGAATGAAGAAACGTATTATTGGTATGTAAACGTTTCCCCTCTGTGGGGTTTTTTTTTTTTTTTTTTTTTTTTTTTTTGCTCAATGTTGCAATCTAGTTTCTAGTGTTAAATGTTGTTTTATTTTCTGCTTCCTAATGCGAACAATTTTTTGAGTGTTTTTTGTTTATACTGAACATTTTCTTTATGTTTTCTTGTGTCTGATATGTTCTGTTTCCTTTAAAGGTGACAAAAAGCATGCTTAAATCGAGATGAGCGACCACGCTGCGATCATGACATCGGGTTGAACACCATATGGCTCTGTCTGTCTGACTGCCTTTTTTTTTTTTCTCATTTTGTTCCCTACATTAACCCAGAAAATGTCTGAAGCTACGAAGTAGCCATGCTAACTAAGCACAGAGGTTCTGTGTTTTGTTTCTAAGAGGCGGGGGGGGGGGGGGGGGGAGGGGGCCAAATAACGGGAGGGGGGTCAGTTATATTTTTTCAAACAGTATATGCATGTGCAACTGAATTTTAAGAACATGCGTTTTTCCTGTAGTATCATACTGATGTGACTCCTGGACTATCTCCCAGTCCTTAAGAAAGAAATAGGGGCTTTTCAGCTGAAATGCTATACACAGATTCTCAGAATACCGTGGTCAAAGAAGAGAACAAATACTGACATTTTCAACAGGTCTGAACATCAAGGAAGATTGGCTAATAAACAGCATCTTGCCTTGGTCATTTCAAGCACCATGGTGGATTGAAAAAATTATAGCAGGTTCCAGGAAGGAGGGGCAGAGGCCGACCAACGCCAAGATAAGCACAGGATATACGTGACTCTTTGAATGTGAAAGGCATAAGAGCTGGCGAGAGACCCAGCCCCGACCAACACAAAGATGAGCACGGGATATAAGTGACTCTTTGAATGTGAAAGGCGAGAGAGCTAGCGAGAAACCCAGCTATGATGAGAGCGACGTTCTTCAAAGGACCTGCTACACGGAGATGATTTACAACTCAGCATATTATTATAATTATATATTCAAACAAGGCCTCGGTGCTTTCGATACCTGACCTAGAATACTTTTAAAGACAGCTGAGCGCCACTTCCCCTCATGTTTTCTTTGTGTTGAAACCAGGCCCAACCCTTCCCTCTCCCCCCGGCAGCATCAATCATTACTCTTCTCATAAGGATTGTTATGTCGAATGGTATGGTTACAGTATTAAATATGAACCCTTACTACACCCAAGGAGCGAATAATAATTATTGGAATAAGAAATCTTAGTTCTGGGAACCTGTTCTGTTGTATGGCAGCGAATCTTGGAATGTCAGTGAAAAAATTAAGAAGAATTTGGAAGCAAGAGAGATGTAGTTCTTTTTAGACGAATGAAGGTACTGCCGGTCAAAATGGACGTTAGGCAGCGGCACTGTTCGAAACAGAGGCAAATTGTTTGCTTCTGGCGGACGGTGGCCGAAGCATTTTTGCTCCATTTGAAGACTGGATATAGTTTTGTCGTCCAGCTTCTGAGTTAAATGCATGGCGTGACCCTGTGAGCTGCGGATTGCATTTGGAATGTATTTTCGACTGTGACCAACGTGTTGGTGTGAATTGTAGATTCAGAAAATGGCGCGATGACTGTCGTCGCAGTGTTGTAGTGCCCGTATGTGATTAAAATTGATCGCGTGGGCAACTGCTGATCTGTTGGCGACTTCTGCTACTATCAATGATGAACTGCAATTCTAATACTTTGATAAACATTATGTGTGCTTTTCGTTGGCACAGGAACGGAGCAAAGATGGGGTGACCCGTTTGCTATGAAGCTGAAACTAAGACTACCAGACCACCAGACGAATGAAACGATGGCATGGAGGGATATTATCAAGAGAGCTGTTCCAGGCATCCAGTGATCGTGATCTGTGGAGACTCATAAGCGCCCAAACCATTTGGCAGGGCAAATAATGATGATGAGTCTGGAAAGGTTAACCAGGGCAACAAATAATAACAACAAAACTGCCTTCGGAAGTAGGGTATTTTGGCCAACTGCGCAACTGTCGCAGCCATGTTGTAAACCACATTCCTGATGAAGAAATACCGTCAGAATAGTTCTCGACCTAATGCGTTCCCCCCTCTAATTTCTCTTACAGCTAATTTCCCGGACCCAGCTCGTTACAGCTTCAATGAAGACCACACAGAGCTACATATCAACCATCTCAAGAAAGGCGTAGATACTGCCTGTTTCCAGTGCAACGTGTCCAACAGTGAGGGATATGCCTTCTACGACGCCTACCTAAGAGTTATAGGTATGCAAGGCCCTTCCGTCGATATTTATATTTGGTTTACTACGCAAATCGGCGTCTGTGGCTTAGACATTGCGAACGCTCTTCGTAATGCCGGGGTGCCGGGCTAGATCCCTGCTGCGGACAATGTGTCTGGCGTTAGTTTCGACACTGGTAGCGAGAGATGACCATCCAGAAAGCAATGGCAGACTACTGAATGTAGAATTTGCCTAGAAAAACCACAACAGCCAATAAATGCTGGGGTTGGTTCTGCAACGTCCTGTAAAAGGATACGCGAGTAACTTGTTTTAAACTTTGCAAACGGCTAGCCTGTACACCTTTAACACGGATGAAAAAAGGATGGAAAAGGGGGCGGGAAGGCTGCGGGCGGGATGGTCAAGAATAGAGCTACTGTCTCCCCAACAAATATGTCATTGGAGTCGACTGATATCGAGCTCCTCCCGGAGTCGGAGTGCATATGTCCGAGCAGCAGGGAACAATCAGCCGCACAAAAAATAAGCCAGTAAAACGGATGTGCTCGCAAAACTCTGGACCTGGCACAAGGCCAAATTCTAATTGGACGAACAACCAGAACTTTCTTTTTTTTTTTTTTTTTCAAAGCGTCACAAATTGGGCATGCAGGCCCGTCTTACATTCGGCCCTTTCAAACAGCCGTCTTTCACACTAGAGCTGTATTTTATCAATAAGCATGTTATATTCATAAGGTGATATGCATATTATGAATATCAAGAGAGAGAGAGAGAGAGAAAAAAAAAAGCACAAAAGCATGGGTGGTAAAATGCATGCACACACACACACACACCCACTCACTTAACCTTCACACACACATAAACACACCCCATTCACCCACATAGATACCTACATACCCACACAGACACGCACATTCCACACACATACAAACATACAGCTTACAGCTGGTGAACAAAGAAGAAGAAGAAGAAGAAGAAGAAGAAGAAGAAGAAGAAGAAGAAGAAGAAGAGTCCACATTAAGGCAATGTGTTATTTCAAAAATTGACTTCGGCTCCAAGTCGACCTAGTCTAAAATGGTTAACAGGTAAAGTCACTGGAAGTAAATGCGGCTGGTATGATTTGATCACGTTACTTTTCGAGCGCCGATGGGTCTAAAAATGTAGGTTTAGCACCGTATTAGTGAAGCGTCGAAAGTGTCCAAAAGTCTTTTTTCTCGCTTACCTTCCACGCAGGTCTCTGATGAATAGGCCGTTTGTATCGCGTTTTGTTGACCCTGTGTACGATTACGGGGCTTCATTTATCTATTGATGAAGGCGTTTGTTTACGAAATACCCTAAAATGGTGGGAACTACGGAATTTGGTACTTTGTCGGATGCTTGAGTGGCGAATAGCCAATTTGTGTAGAAAAGCTACATTTTCTTACAGGTCCAGAAACAATACGTCCCATATTAATAGGGACAGTCCCGGTTTTCGACGTATTTCAACCATTCCATCGGTTAATAAGCAACTTTTTTTAAAAATCTATAAATAAGCTAGAGCAGTGTTTCATAAACTTTCTTAGTCTTGGCGCCTTTTTTTCCCATTAAAATTTTCCCACGGCGCCCTAACCTAAGTAAAAGTATAACTATTCGTATGTAAGAGATCAAAACATAACTCGTGTATCTTCGAATATTTAACGGTACCCCTGTGAAAAGGTCGCGGCTTTCCGGGCGCCGCGGCACACAGTTTGAGAATCACTGAGCTAGAGACATAGAACATACACTCATAGTCTTGTTTGTAGACATTTATACATTTCACTGTTAAATGCACTGTTTACTCTTAAATAATAATTGTATATTAAATACATGTAATGTTTAAATGTTTTGAGAATGTACAATGTAAAAGTAAAGTATAGGTCCCTTTTCCAAGCCTTTAGGTGTATTGGGAATATAGGGCTAGACCTATATCTCACAGACCAATCGGTAACTGGGGGGGGGGGGGGGGGGGAGGTAATGTGGTCAGCATCACGCCGGCCCCCTTTACTTCCCAGAACTGCACCCGGTACCCATTAGAGGGTGGGTCGACCTGGAAGTCAATGTCCTTTTTAAAAAGTCTTGCACTTTAAGGACGCGAACCCACTACCTTCCGAACCACAGACAAGGGTCTAGCCATCAGCACAACTGCTATTCCTTGAATTTACATTGTAACATATTATTTCTCATTGCAGTTAACAAGAATATTTTGTTTATTTCTTAGTAGCAATTGTTTGGGTCCTAATACTTTTATCGAGCGAGTTATTAACCCGTTAACGGTGATCTAGAACTAGATTGGGTGGGGGTGGTAAACACTTGCTTGGGATGTCCTGTTTAAAGCTCAAAATTCTAGTTGGATGTCCCGTTCCCAGCTCAAAATACTAATTGGATGTCCCGTTCCCAGCTCAAAACATTAGTGGGATGTCCCGTTTCCAGCTCAAGATATTATGGACACTTTACATACACCTTTTCTTATTTCAAATACGATATACATACATGAAGACTGCATTTATAAACATGGCCCTATAAAAGAATAACTGTTCTATTGTAGAGGCCATCAAGATCACCAAGCATCCAGATCCTGTCAACGAAATCAACACAAATAAAGTCATTGATATCAGCGTGCATGCGACTGGAGACGAATGCTGCCCGATCACCTACTCCTGGTTCCTCAACGGTGTCATGATACATGATGAACTTGAAAAACCTCCATATAAGTAAGTGATTTGAGTTGAGTTGAACCAAGAATTGACATCACAGCATTCTGGGCATTCCCATGCAGGCTCCGTCCTCGTCTTCAGCAGCCAGCGCAGAGTTCCAGTACTAATGGTACCGGTCACAATCTGTTTATATGTCTGTCTTGCCTTTCCTCTGAGTGTAGTGAGCCGGCCGGACCCAATGATTACACCCAGGTGCCTCATTCTCTTCAGGATAAACTTCTTTCTGTGCTGAATTTATTGCTTGTTCCCAAAGGGCCTTGACCACTTCTGCCATGTCATGTATCAATTCACCATCCAGCGGTGCAGATCCAGCCAATCTGTCTGCCTGTTCATTACCCACCACACCTGCTTTGTCTGGAGAAAAGATCCAAAGAATGCTCACTACCCGTGACCTTTCTAGTGACGCTTGCATAAGTAAGTGATAAATTAGCATACACACTAACAGAAAGTAATACGTAACTGATAGATGAATAGAGCAGTTAGAAATGACTTGAGCAAGTCCCGGCAATCCGTTAGAGAATTTAATTGTTCAATCTAATACGCCCCAGAAAAAGAAGAGGGGGAAATCGATGATAATGTGAGATGAGATGTAGAAGAAATGCCGTGAGGAAAACAGGAAGAGACACAGTCGCCAGTAAAGAACTAAGAATATTGGTAGGGCACAGTAAGGGTAGATAATTTCATAGAACATCAAAGAATCAAACGGTTTAGTCCCCTGGTCAGAATGGAGAAAAAATTAGCCACCAGCTAGAGTGTACTACATGAGAAAAGAAGGCTCCAAGGCAAGAGGCCAGCCAAGAAAGAGATGGGTGGCGTGAGTAAAAGAGACTCTACAGAAAGGCAATATGACATTAACTCAAGCTACGAGAGGATGTTGGACAGTCTGGCAGCATGCCAAAGAAGACTTCCGGTCAAAATGGACGCCAGGCACGGTCACTGTTTCGCGTAGAGGCAAATTTTTTGCTTCTGCCAGACTGTGGCCGTTGCATTTTTGATCCATTTGTAGACTGAAAGGATATAGTTTCGTCGCGTCAGCTACTGAATTGAGTGCATGGTGCGACCATATGAGCTGCTGATTTCCTTTGGAATGTTTTTCAACTGTGACCAACGTGATGTTGTGAATTGTAAATTCAGAAAAAGGCGCGTGGTCTGTCGCCGCAGTATTGGTGGTGCCCTTATGTGATTAATATTGATGGCGTGTGCAACTGCTGATCTGTTGGTAACTTCTGCTACTGTCGATGATGAACTGCATTTCTAATGTCCAATTGTTTGTGTTAGCACTTCTGATAGCTACCGTATGTTTTTAATTCGTGTGTATGCCAGTGCATATGCTAAGACACCAGTCTGACAATCTCTCCACAAGGAACTGTGACGAACATTCTGTGTGTTTTTCGTTGGCACATTGAGTATATAGGGATAGACCTATATTTTATAGATCAGACGGTACTTGGTGGATCATATCGTCAGCATCATCACGCTTGCCGCCTTTATTTCTAAGGACTTTTATTGGTACCCACTCAAGGCTGGGTCGACCTGAAGCCAAGGTCATTTTTGAAATTCTGGCTCCCCTAAATACTCGAACCCATGAACTTCCGATCCGCAGGCGAGCGTCTAGCCTCTAGGCCACGGCAGCTCCTAACTGATGCCTGTTGGGGTATTGTCTCCTTGGTGTGCTAGTTGGTTGCTGGGTTTTTTTTTTTTTTTTTTTCATATCTATGACGTGGGTGACAATGTGAATGCACACAGTTGGTAACGAGTTGAGAAGATATACGTCTATATCGTTATTGAACTTTTAAAGGTAATCTGTTCCAGTCAATGTCTTTTAGCACGGTCCAACAAGAGATAATGACATTTATCAAGTACAGAATCGAAGTCTACTACCATCCGCACTCTTTACCTTTCAGTTCTGTTCAAAACACATGCAATACACACAGTGGTTGATCCACAATATCTGATCATGGCTGTTAGATTCCTTGACTGGTTGGATCTCATTAGGCTATCACCAAGTAGTCGTCTGGCGGTCCTTTCATAGAACAGAATTTCTTTCACGTCTTCAGTTACACAATGTCACATTCACTGGTCTATGAGATACCACTTTTCACGGGCGTCTGATCTTGCTACCTAGAGACCAGGGGGAATTACTGGAAGTCCAAGTCCACGTGAAAAAGTCCCAGCCCTTACAGGGAATTGAACCCGCAATCTCTAGCACTAGAGGCAGACACCATGTCGAGACTACTCAGTCCGCTAATAGTTAATACAATTAACAACGATAAGCATTTGAATGAATACGTATGGCTGCAAGACATAATATTTAACTCTCTGTCATAACAGAAGAGGTCCTGGTGGATCATTGTTGTTTGACCCTAGAAATGTCTCCGATGACGTTCTGTCTTCCCGCACCGGAGGCTACCAGTGTAATATTTCTAACAACTATGACACAGCGATGTACGAGTTTACTGTTGTAGTTAAAGGTACGCTATTGTAGTTGTAATTGTTATTATTATTCTCCTTTCCTTCTGTTATCTCCTCCCTCCTATTGTGTTGAGTATGTGTGTATGCATTGTTTTTGTGTCGGTTGCGTTTGTTTCTATGTGTTAAGTATGTGTGAATGTATGTGTTGTATCGGTATGTGTTTTCTGTGTGTATGTCGTGTCTGTGTGTATATGTGACTGTGTGTGTTTTTGTTCTGTGCATATGTGTTCTGTGTATGTGTTCTATCTGTGATTGTGTGTGTGACTGCTTATTTTGTGTGTGCGTCATCAATGTGTGCGCTTCTGGTTTGAAGGGTTATGTGCATGTGTGTGCATGCGTATGTCTGTGATGTATGAGTTTTTTTGCATATATATAAATATTAAAGGTATGCATTTATCAATAATGACTTTGTATTTCGTATTTACATTTATACAATTAAATTTGACATATTAACATAATATATTTGATATATCAAATGCAAGTGCCGTCTGAAAGATGAATGCTTAGAAGGGCTTAATGCGAGACGGCTAATATGTCAAGTTTGTTCGTTCCTACCCTTCCCTTTCTTTCTCTATCTCTCTACCCTTTTCCGTTTTCTTTTCTCCTCCTCCTTCTCGTCGTCCTATTCTTCCTCCTCTTCCTTCTTCTTCTTCTTCTTCTTCTTCTTGTCTTCTTCTTCTTGTCTTCTTCTTCTTTTTCTTCTTCTTCTTTTTCTTTTTTTCTTCTTTTTCTTCTTTTTCTTCTTCTTCTTCTTCTTCTTCTTCTTCTTCTTCTTCTTCTTCTTCTTCTTCTTCTTCTTCTTCTTCTTCTTCTTCTTCTTCTTCTTCTTCTTCTTCTTCTTCTTCTTCTTCTTCTTTTGCATTGGCCCTTAAACCAGCGGTAGTTACAATGAGTGGATGTACAGCTAGGCTGCGATGTCTGTATCTTTCGGCCCAACAAATCTAACTTAAGTAAACTCATAACTGGTAGAATTTTACGACATGCTTGTTGGGAGCCTATTCTTTTAATCCCCAAAATATGGTTGTACAATCTATATGGGGACTGCTGTGATAAGAGGGCGCGGTTGTACAACCCATATGGGGACTGCTGTGATAAGAGGGCGCGGTTGTACAATCTAAATGGGGACTGCTGTGATAAGAGGGCGCGGTTGTACAATCTATATGGAGACTGCTGTGATAAGAGGGCGCGGTTGTACAATCTATATGGAGACTGCTGTGATAAGAGGGCGCGGTTGTACAATCTATATGGAGACTGCTGTGATAAGAGGGCGCGGTTGTACAATCTATATGGGGACTGCTGTGATAAGAGGGCGCAGTTGTACAACCCATATGGGGACTGCTGTGATAAGAGGGCGCGGTTGTACAACCCATATGGGGACTGCTGTGATAAGAGGGCGCAGTTGTACAATCTATATGGGGACTGCTGTGATAAGAGGGCGCAGTTGTACAACCCATATGGGGACTGCTGTGATAAGAGGGCGCAGTTGTACAATCTATATGGGGACTGCTGTGATAAGAGGTCGCGGTTGTACAACCCATATGGGGACTGCTGTGATAAGAGGGCGCAGTTGTACAATCTATATGGGGACTGCTGTGATAAGAGGGCGCGGTTGTACAATCTATATTGGGACTGCTGTGATAAGAGGGCGCGGTTGTACAATCTATATGGGGACTGCTGTGATAAGAGGGCGCGGTTGTACAATCTATATGGGGACTGCTGTGATAAGAGGGCGCGGTTGTACAACCCATATGGGGACTGCTGTGATAAGTGTGCGCAAGACAAATAAAAAAAAAACTACCATATTGGGTGACAACCTGGTATCAGTGAGACGACAAAAGAAGAGGAATGAAGCCCAGTTTAACCTTCTTTTGTGCTTAGATTACATTGCTGATCTTACTGAATACTTCAAAGTAATGTTGATCCAGCTTGTATTTGTATGTGATGTACCATTTATATGTTTCCTAATTTGATTTCATTACCTGTTCTTACTGTTTCAGCTTTTGCAGTCTATAATTACTCCTACATTGAATATCATACTGTAGATGCCATCTACTCCCACATCATTTCATTAATGTAACCATTAATCTCATAATTCTGATATTTCAAGCGTTTAATTTACAGTCATATATCAACCATCCCAACCATTCAGTCCACGGCATTTAGTTTTGCGTAATCCAGATTTTATTTCAGCAAGACAGCTAGAAGATCCTTGTAAACAAATTATTCGAATTTTACTGTTTTGGATATATCCAACATCAAAAAACGATTTCAATGCTTTCGGCACTCTAAATATTCAAACGTTTAAAACAATAAGATTGATTCGGTGGTGTGATATGTATTAGTGACAGCTTTTAGCTCGCCTTGTAACGAAGGTCATCCCCATGTGGGACGCAATTTCTGGTTATTATGAAGCCCCAACCCGGCTTTTGCCCGGGGCCGCAATATAGCCTGAAGGCGGTTTTTTGGGACCTCACCATGGGTGATCCTCATTCACATGGTGACACTTTGTGTCACCGGGTATTTATCGCTTGTGTGATGTCCTGGTGAGGTAAAATTTACTTACTTACTGACCAGCCCGCCTTGCTCTGTGGTCAGCATCAATCATTTACATGACCCGACCGTTTTAGCACCACAAAACAGAAAACTTGGAAAATCAACACAAAGGAAACTCACTAGGACATCAATTATAAAAAATTAACACCTATCACAACCAGAACAAAGGAGGCAAGTCGAACAAGAGGAGCAGGAAACACGGGACCAAAATGGAGCCCAGACATGGAGCGATCAACAATATACTCGGGCAGAGACACTTAGCAACCAGCCCAGGCACAGATACATAAATCTCAATCAATACACGTTGCACAAATAAACAAGAGCACAAATATAAGCAAACGCAGCTCCCAGTAAAAGCTTTTTTTTCTTTCGTACAGTTGGAATTGGGCTGAACGAGCCTAGATTGTAAGAATGGACCGCTAAGAGTAGAGAACTCCTTGCTACAAGGTCAACAATAACAACAAAACCAAACAACAATAAACAACGTTGAACAGGTTTATTGAAAGAATGCTAGAGGAAGTCAGCTTCCATAGAGCCTTGACATGATGTTGTCCTTGCATGATTCTTCTTTTCCTTCTTTCGTTCGTCTGAAACAAGTTGTCTACATCAGCAATTTTGTCTCTTGTATAAATTTCACTGTTGTTATTAATTAATTCAGTGGTCCACAGAGTTTACGTTCCACTTTTGTTCTTTCTGGCCCACAAGTTTGCCTTACTGTTTCAAATTCGGTGCAGTCCTGGAGTACATGCTCTGCTGTCTGGGGCACCTTTCCACAGGTGCATATGGCTGATACGCCTATCTTGAATTTTGCGTCTGATCCTGTTGCTTTGCTCGACAAAAAATCGTCACGTTCAACCAGCTTCAATGAAGGGGGAGCTTTAGGTTAAAACTGTCACTAGGTTATTTGCGCCATATAAAATTGCATAGCATTGCACGCCACCAAGTAGCTCTTGGAAAGAACTTTTTTTGATACAATCAAAGGAGACAAACCCAAATACTGACCCGACTCAAGTTCTTCTTCCTCATCCTCCTCCTTTTCATATTCTTTTTCTTGATTTCCTCTTTTTTCTTCTTTCCTCCTCCTCCCCACCTCATATTCATATTCTCCCTCTTTATCCTTTTTTATCCTTCCTCATCCTATTTATACCCTTCCTCTTTCTCTTTATAGTTCTCCTTGTTCTTTTTAATTTTTTCTCCACCTCATCCTCGTCTTCTTCTTTGTCTTCTTCTTAGTTCGCCCTTTTAAGGACGATTATAACAGGTGAACTGGAATATCTGCCTCTTTCAGTACAGCTCATGCGATTTCAGCGATTTCTTAATTAATTAACTTTCACTACATGCTAGATTCCCCTCTTCCTTTAGAATGCGGCACTAGGACCCACACAGCGGAACAGTCTGACTTGTGTAGTATCATTATCACACTGAGTCAGGAGAGCAGGGAGTGGCCAGCGGGTGCCACGGAGGTGGAGGTTCAGCAGTTAATTCAGGGTAATTCTGGCTGAGGTGATGGGAATCCGTGTCAAGAAACAAAAGAAGTGCCTGGGGTTCTTAGCAAAAAGCTTATGGTCGACGTTTTGTGCAGGAGAGCTTAGCATATGATAACACAAATTCGGCTTAAGAATGGAGGTAGAGGCGGTGACTGCAGCTTCCCCTCGCTAGAGAATATGATACACACACACACACACACGCACACACACACATTGTGACTGTAATTGACTCAGAAAGCATGATGAGGACGTTGAGGGCAAGCATGATTCGTGCAGAGTGGCACAATTTATCTTTAGAGGTCACATTAAAGAGCATTGTCTGGATTTTTTTCCTGGGTATGCCGGCGTGTTGGGAAATGAACAGGCGGAGAGATAGACTAGCAAGCTCTGAACGGCTTTGTAAAATATTAATGCATGATATAGGAGACGCGGTTAAAGTCTTATGGAAGCACGTGTTCAATCGGAACAGCAAGTTGATCATCTAAGTCTGGTGAGAGTGATGCAGCGTGGAGTGATTCGGGGATCTGAACGACACTGCTAGCACCAGTGGTATTGGAACTTTGCATTGGCTGCTGAAAATCGGGACGGAGCGCTTATGGAAATATCCCAAGTGGTGTCATAAAGGTTCTTGAATCAACTCAGCTTAACAGAGATGGTCACGTATTATTGCCTCAATAGAGTGAGAAACGTCCTCTAGGTTCATGTTTGTTTAATCTGCAGATGATGGTCAACTGGCCATTGGGGTGGTCAGCGGAGGGTTTCAACTGTGGTGGATTATAATTCTCATTGTCCTGCTATTGTTGATCTTAATTGCCATCATCGTCTTCCTTATCGTCAGGAGAAGCTACCCTAGAGAAACCTATCCCCGTAAGTATCGTTTGTGACGGCTGTTCTATTAGAAAACTAGAGAATATGCAGCACCAATATCAAGGCGTGTATGTAACGGCTGTTCTATTAGA